ATAGATTGTCCATGTCCACAGGCAAACGTATATGTTTAGCATCTACGGCGTTTCGCTTTTCACGGCGTTGACGACGGCCCAAGCGGCCCCAAAACGGCCCAGGAGGCTCCCAAGAGGCCCCCAAAACGGCCCAAGATGGCCCCCAGACGGCCCAAGAGGCGCCCAAGACGGCCCAAGAGGGCCCCAAGACGGCCCCAAGAGGAGGACCACGAACCGACAAGTCTAGCCTATCGCCCCAAGACGCTCCCGGGAGGCCCCAAGAGCCCCCCAAGAAGCCCCAAGAGGCCCCCAAGAGGCGCCCCAAGAGGCCACCAAGAGGCCAAAATCATTGATTTCTCACGGGAAAACGTGCATTTTGAGCATGCACTGCTTTTCGGCTTCCACGGCGTTGAAGTCGGTCCAAGAGGCCCCCAAGACCGCCCCAAGACGGCCCAAGAGGCTCCCAAGAGGCCCCCAACAGCCCAAGAGGGCGCCAAGACGGCCGAAGAGGCGCACGACGGCCCAAGAGGGCCCCAAGACGGCCCCAGAAGGGGGACCACGAACCCGAAAGTCGAGCCTTTCGCCCCAAGACGCTCCCAGGAGCCCCCACAGACCCCCAAGAAGCCCCAAGAGGCCCCCAAGAGGCCCCCAAAGGGGCTCAGAAAGGGCCGCAATAGGACTCCCAAGAAGGCTCAGAGAAGCCAAATAAAGAGCGATCGGTAACGCAAAATGCTCTTCACACCAAGGCTCCCAAGAACAAACGGTGACGTAAACAAGCTCATAAGACCAAGGCTCCCAGCAGGGAGCGATGACGTAACAAGTTCCTGACACCAAGGCCCAGCCAAGGCTCAGGAACAGGCGGCAACGCAACAATCTCTGAACACCAAGCCTCCCAAGAGCGCGGGGTGACGTGACAAGCTCTCAACGCCAAGGCTCCCAGTACGAACGGTGGTGTGAGTAATTTCGGTCAAGTTGTTGAAGTGCTCTTTCCGTTTCCGTGCCGGCCCAGGTTTAATGGCCGTGTTCGGGTTTTCTTTTGGGTTTTTGCATGTTTTTCGGCTTCTCCCCGCTTACGTCCCAGAAGGGCCCTAGACGGCCCAAGAGGCCCTAAAGATCGTCCCAAGAAGCCTCCAAGACGCCTCAAGAGGCGCCCAAGAGGCGCCCCCACAGGCCCCCAAGAGGCCCAAATCATCGATTTCGCATAGGGAAACGTACATGTTTAGCATATGCGGTTTTTCTGCTTTCACGGCGTTGACGACGGCCCAAGAGGCCCCCAAGAGCGCCCCCAGACGGCCCAAGAGGCTCCCAAGAGGCCCCCAGAACGGCCCAAGAGGGCCCCAAGACAGCCCAAGAGGCGCCCAAGACGGCCCCAAGGGGGGGACCACGAACCGAAAAGTCTAGCCTTTCGCCCCAAGATGCTCCCAGGAGGCCCCAAGAGCCCCCCAAGAAGCCCCAAGAGGCCCCCAAGAGGCCACCAAGAGGCCAAAATCATTGATTTCCTATGGGAAGAGGTACATGTTTAGCAAACACTGCTTTTCGCATTTCACTACGTTGAAGTCGGTCCAAGAGGCCCCCAAGACCGCCCCAAGACGGCCCAAGAGGCTCCCAAGAGGCTCCCAAAAGGACCCAAGAGGGCTCCAAGACGACCCAAGAGGCGCCCAAGACGGCCCAAGAGGGCCCCAAGACGGCCCCAAGAGGGGTACCACGAACCGAAAAGTCTAGCCTTTCGCCCCAAGACAGGAGGCCCCAAGAGCCCCCCAAAAAGCCCCAAGAGGCCTCCAAGAGGCCCCCAAGAGGCCCCCAAAGGGGCTCGAAAAGGGCCGCGATCGGACTCCCAAGAAAGCCCAGAGAAGCCAAATAAAGAGCGATCGGTAACGCAAAAAGCTCTTCACACCAAGGATCCCAAGAGCGAACGGTGACGTAAACAAGCTGATAAGACCAAGGCTCCCAGCAGGGAGCGATGACGTAACAAGTTCCTGTCACCAAGGCCCAGCCAAGGCTCAGGAACGGGCGGCAACGCAACAATCTCTGAACACCAAGGCTCCCAAGAGCGCGGGGAGACTCCCGGTACGAACGGTGGTGTGAGTAATTTCGGTTTCTGTTTCTGAAGCGCTCTTTCCGTTTCTGTGCCGGGCCCAGGTGACAGAAAGAGCGAGGTACGAGTAAGTTCCGTTGAGTTGGGGCGAAGCCCTTATTGGGGGGGTTGCAGGCGGGGGGCGGACCCGGACGTGTGTTGGTCTAATGGCCGCTCCGCCTCGTTATTAATCGAATGACGGAAAGCGCGCGTTAGCGTGCGGTCCGTTAGTCGGAAGAAATTGGACTTGGGGGAGTTCGAGGGGGGTGGCATCGCGAGGCCCAGATGACGGAAAGCGCGCGTTAGCGTGCGGTCCGTCAGTCGGAAGAAATTGGACTTGGGGGAGTTCGAGGGGGTTGGCATCGCGACGCCCGAGATGACGGAAAGCGCGCGTTAGCGTACGGTCCGATAGTCGGAAGAAATTTGACTTGGGGGAGTTCGAGGGGGTTGGCATCGCGACGCCCGAGATCTAATTGCCTTCCGGCCTTGTTTTCTATCGAGTAGGACGGCCTTCGGGGCTCAAAATTAGCGTTTCGCTCAAGACATCATCTGAAAACGCTTCTTGGGCGCTTCTTGGGCCGTCTTAGGCGCCTAAGACAGCCCAAGAAGCGGCCAAGACGGCGCCCAAGACGGCCCAAGACGGCCCAAGAAGCGCCCAAGACGGCCCAAGAGCGCTCCAAGAGAGCCCAAGAGCGCCCAAGGCGGCCCCAAGACGTCCCAAGAGGCCTCCACGACGCCCCAGGAGGCGCCCACGAGGCGTCCCAAGAGGGCCCCACGAGGCCAACATCATTGATTTTCTGATGGAAAGCGTGCATTTTTAGCATATACGGCTTTTCGCCTTTCATGGCGTTGAAGACGGTCCTAGAGGCCCCCAAGACCGCCCCAAGACGGCCCAAGATGTTGCCAAGAGGCCCCCAAAATAGTCCAAGAGGGCGCCCAGGCGGGCCAAGAGGCGTCCAAGATTGTCCAAGAGCCCCCCAAGAGCGCCCCAAGAAGGCCCAAGAGACCCCCAAGAAGGCCCCAAGACTGCCCAAGAGGGCGCCAAGACGGCCCAAGAGGCGCCAAGACGGCCCAAGACGGCCCCAGGACGGCCCCAAGAAGGCCCCAACCGCTTCGTGTTTTATCGAGTAGGACGGCCTTCGGGGCTTAAAAACAGCGTTTCGCTCGAGACATCATCGGAGAAAGCTTCTTGGGCGCTTCTTGGGCCGTCTTAGGCGCCTAAGACAGCCCAAGAAGCGCCCAAGACGGCGCCCAAGACGGCCCAAGAAGCGCCCAAGACGGCCCAAGAGCGCCCTAAGAGAGCCCAAGAGCGCCCAAGGCGGCCCCAAGACGTCCCAAGAGGACTCCACGACGCCCCAGGAGGCGCCCACGAGGCGTCCCAAGAGGGCCCCACGAGGCCAAAATCATTGATTTCCTTAAGGAAAACGTACATTTCTACAATATACGGCTTTTCGCCTTTCATGGCGTCGAAGACGGTCCAAGAGGCCCCAAAGACCGCCCCAAGACGGCCCAAGATGCTCCCAAGAGGCCCCACAAATAGCCCAAGAGGGCGCCAAGACGGGCCAAAAGGCGCCCAAGACAGTCCAAGAGGCCCCGAAGAGCGCCCCAAGAAGGCCCAAGAGGCCCCCAAGAGGGCACAAAAACGGCCCAAGAGGGCGCCAAGACGGCCCAAGAGGCGCCAAGACGGCCCAAGACGGCCCCAGGACGGCCCCAAGAAGGCCCCAAGACTTCAAGAGGCCCCCAAGAGAGCCCAAAGACGGCCAAAGGCAGCCTAGTCCCTTCACCCCCGCCACCCAGAAGCCCCCAGGAGGCCCCAAGAGGCCCCCGTGGCCTTGCCGCATGCTCCCTGGCCTTTGGCCGGGGCGCTCGGGGTCAGCCTGCTCGGAGGCCGCCGTGGCAGATATGGTTCTGCCTGCCGGCGCCTTACCAAAGCTTCAGTCCACCCATCCGCCCCCCCCCAGGAAGGAGGGGCGCCGACGGGGCCGCCGCCTCCGCCGCCGCCGCCGAGGGGAGGGGGGAGGAAAGGGCCGCCCGCCGCAGCTGCCGTCGCGACGTTGGCCGCGGACTGCAGCGCCGCGCCGTCAGCCTGAGGGCCATCAACGCTCACCCTGCGCGGGGGGGCCAGGGCCCCCCCGTAACGAGACACCGTCGGGACACCGCGCCAGGACGCCAACGCGGCCGACCAGGGACCCCGCGCCCCGCCGGCCAGGGAGCCAGGGGGAGGAGGGGAAGACGGACACGCTCCTTCCGAAGACGCTCTGGCACCGCCGGCCGCCGCCGGCCCGATTGATAACACTTTTAACTTGTTCATTTTTATTTTTATCAGTTTTTTTTATATTTTTCTTTATTTTTTATTCTTATTTTTTTTTAACTTTTTTATTTTATTTCTGTCTTTCTTTTTATTTAATATTATCTTTTCAGTAATATTATTATTTTTTTTTATATTATATTTTACCCCTTTTTATTTTTTAATTATAATTTTTTTTCTTTTATTCTTTCTCTTTTAACATTTCTATTTTTTTTTTCTTTTTATATTTATTCTTTTTTTGCAATTAATCCATTTTGCAGCTGGTGGAAGCACGATGTGCGGGCCTGATTTGTCTAGGCGAATCTTCCGCCAGCGACCGCTGAGAGGAATCCGCCGCTTCGTGCGCGACCATGCGCGACCACTTCCAACCGCCACCGCCTCGGAGCGCTGGGGCCCCCCGTTCCGCTGCCTTGCAAAGCCTCCATGACCTGCAGGGCCAGCTGCGCCGCGGCGAGCTGCAACTGGGCCCGCCGGCGTGGGCTCGGGTCCGCGTGATAAGTAACCCAAGCAGACTTGGCCGTCACCCGAGGCTGAGCTCCCCACCACCCCTGGGGGACTGCCAGCGGCCCCTCCTCCAACACCCTTCTGGCTTGGAGAAACCTCGGGCAGTCCGCCCAGAAATGGCGAGCAGAAGCCCTGTCAAACCCGCACCAAGGACACGCCGTTAATCGACCCTGCCCAGACCAACGGCGGGTCGGCGTCCACGCGGCCCCGGCCCGCCACACGGAAAGGCAGAAGCGCTTCCGCGGAGGAAGCCGGCGACGCCAGCTAGACCAGTCCGGGTGGCTCGAAGCTTCGATGTCCACCGCGCCCAGCATTTCCTCGTCGTGCCGCGCCCCAGCCCTGCGCTCCAGCAGCAGGGAGGCCCGCGCGCAGACGCGAAGGACATGCTGGCCCCGGGGGCTCGACGCGTCGGACGCACCTCCAAGGTGGCGCACCCCCGCCACCTTCCGCCGCCACCCGGGCACGGCGGTCCAGGCCAACCCCTGGAACCACCCAGATGCCCTCCGGGAGGGGGCCGGGCAAGTCCGCCATGCGCAGCCCCAGCTTGCAACAATGGGTGTCCAGAGCCACCTCGAGCATGCTCGACCACGGGAGGCCGCGTGCCGCCTGCAACGCCCGGCACGACAACGCCAGGCTGGGGTGGGTCATGATCTTGTCCGCCCAGAAGCGGCGGGCGCACCACCATGTCGATTTCTGCGCCGATATGGCTTTCATGCACTCCCTCGCCAGGGCCGCTGGCGGATGCTCCACGAAGGGGGCCGCCCACATGTACTCATTCAGCGCCCACTTCACGACCTGCTCCCGCAACTCGGCTCCGCCTGGGACGCACCGAGCGCGCCGGGCCGTGTCCACCACGGGATCCCAACCGTCCCTCGGCGGGGGCAAGTGCGGTCGGAGGCCGGCCGCTGGCTGAGCGATTATGCCCAGGTGCTCGGCGGCGCCAGACCCCGCCCACATTTGCCGCTTGCCGCCGTTCTCCGTCAAGCCGACCGCGGCGTCGAACTCCTGGGTGACCTGCAGCTGGGACTGGAGGTCCCCCAACGTGCTCGTCTTCAGTGACCGGTCGTCTACGTAGCTCCAGTGTCCAGCCCCGCATGAGCCCACCAGCCCGTGCCACGGCGCCAACACTAAAGAGAGCACACGGCAGCAAGCCGGGTCACCCGCGGGTATCCCCCTCGTGGGGAAGAGGGGGTCGGCCATCTCCCCGGCCACGGCGCAAAAACGAGGCGCAGTCCAGCCAGCGACGAGAGAACACACCACGGGAGGGGGCACCCCCGCGCGCTCCAAGGCTTTTCTGGCAACCTCGTGGGGGACCCTATCGAAGGCTTTCATCAAATCAACTTCCGCCCCATATTGCCCCTCCGCCGACAACCAGGAGGCCACCGACGCGACCACGCCCGCCTCGCCGTAGGCTTCGGCCGGCCCAGGCGGGAGACACCGCAACAGCGTGGCGTGCCAAGCTCTGTACCAGACGCTGGCCACGCAAACCGGGCGGCTGTCCGAGGACCCCCGTTTGGGGATACCCGCCACCCGGAAGGCGAACACACTTTCAGGGAAAACGCGCTCGCTCTCCTAGCGGCGCGCGCCCCCAGGCGGATCGCCCCGAGCAGAGCCCACGTCGCCGCGCCGAGGCGGGGTATCCCTCCCAGGCTGGATGCCGCCAGCGCCGAAGGCCGCGCAGTCGGCCAGCCCTCCTGGCTGTTCGCCAGACTGGTCTGCCTGGGCACGCCCAGGAGGCGGCGTTCGCCAGCTCGGTCCACTCCTGCGCAAAGACGAGGGGGTCGCCCGTTTCCGCCGCCTCCCTCCCCAGCCCGGGACCCGGGCCCCTCGGAGTGGCAGGGGCGACGCCTGGGCACCAGTGCCGCGCCCATTCCGTGCGCATGTCCGTCGCCGAAAAAGTTAGGTGGCTGAACCCGCTGGGCAGCCGCCTTGGCAGCGTCGGGACCCCACCGTTTAAAACGGCCCTTCCAAGCTTGAACAGCAGCCTTTTTCATTATCCCCTCCTCAGCCGTGATAGCGGCGCGGAGAATGTCCGCGGCGCCCCCGAGGCACGAGGGGATCGCAGGGAGGAGGCCGCTTCGGAACGCAGGCACCCATCTCTTGAGAAGGGCCCCTGGGGTCGGGGCTTGGCCGGGGGGCCCCCCCTCGCCGTTAGCTTCCGCCGACTTCCACGACTCCTCCAAGACCCGCTGCAAGCGGCATAACCTGCGGTATCGCATCGTTTCTGGCCCCCTCCTCGACGCCGTCGGCGCGACGGGCCGCTACTCTGGCAACGAGCCCTTGTCGCGCTCCCGACCGCGAACGATTTCCGCGAGCCCCAGGCGACAAGCTTCCCGCATCAAAGCCTCGGCACGCACATGCCATCGTTCAATCGCCTCCCTGGGTGGGAGGAGCCGGTCGTCCTGCGTAGCTTCCGCCACAAGCCGTAACTGCCGAGCCTGGTCCGTCGCAGGGGGGGGGCCCAACCGTAGAGAGCGGTTCGGGCAGGGCGCGTCTGAGGAGACAGGGGGCCGACTCTTCCTGCAATGCGCACATCATAAGCCACGGCAGCATGGTGGGGCACCCCTCTCACAGGGACGGTGAAGGCCGGTTCGACCGACGCCCCCCTGGCCAGGCACCTCGTCGGAGCAGTTTTCCCTTCAATGGTGGTGGGGATGACCCGCGCCGCCGCCCAGTCCAGAGGCATCACGCTATCGTAGACGGGGCGCCAATTCAAGTCCCCCACAATCACCGCAGGAATTCCCGAGACACGTCCAGCCGCGGCGACGAGAGACGCCAACCAATCGTCATCCGCAGGGTGGGGCCCCCAGGCAACCGAAACCCGCATCACGTCAAAATTCCTCCCCACCGAACGCCAGGACAGCGAGTCGCAATTCTTGTCGCCAAGGGTCCCCTTGCCAAGCCCGGGGCGCCAGAGCAGAAAACAACCCCCTTCCCTCCTTCCAGTCGCCGTCATGGGGGGAGCAGCAGACCACTGGCCACGCCAACCCGCCCGCTCAGCAAGCGCCGTGGCCCACCGAAAGCCACCGGGGGGTGCCGGGCACCGTGGCCCCAAATACCCCCAAAGGCTCTCAGCACCGCGGCTCCCAAGAGCGAGCGGTGACGTAATCGAGCTGATAAGACCAAAGCTCCCAACAGAGAGCTGCGGCGTCATAAGTTCTTGCAGCCAGGGCACAGGGACGGGCGGCAACGCGTGGACAACGAGCGGTCCACGCAAGGACAACGCGGGGTTCTGGAAAGCTGGCAGCCCAAACGCGGAAAACGCAACGCGACCCGACCGCCCCCTCCAAAACAAGAAACGCGCTCAAAGAAAGCTCCGCGACTCTCCGAGGCTGAGATATGACAAGAGCGAGGGGAAGGGAGTCAATAAGAGGTGTAAGAGCGGACGAGCCAGCGATCTCGTGCGCTCTGAAAGTAAGTGCGCTTTCCGTCCCCGTGCCAAGCAGGTGACGGAAAGCGCGCGTTAGCGTGCGGTCCGTTAGTCGGAAGAAATTGGACATGGGGGAGTTCGAGGGGGTTGGCATCGCGACGCCCGAGATCTAATTGCCCTCCCGCTTTTTTTATCGGGTAGGACGGCCTTCGGGGCTTAAAAACAGCGTTTCGCTCGAGGCATCCTCGGAGAACGCTTCTTGGGCGCTTCTTGGGCCGTCTTAGGCGCCTAAGACAGCCCAAGAAGCGCCCAAGACGGCGCCCAAGACGGCCCAAGACGGCCCAAGAAGCGCCCAAGAC